GTGGCTCTGATGTCAATGATGACATCTTGTTGACAACACTTGTGAAGTGTTTGCCTGCTCAGCTGCGTCAACATGTGCAGCTGACTATGGATGAGGCCAGCACCTTCCAGCTGGTCAAGGACAAGTGCATTGCCTACGAGAGACTCAGCATGACGTGGTCGAAGGACAAAGTCTATGCAGAGCTTGGTGCAGTGACTTCATATACAACTGACAGTGGTGGTCCATCTGCAATGGAGGTCAATCAGATCTCAAAGGGCAAAGGTAAGAGCAAAGGTGCAAAGGGCAAATCAGGATCGAAAGGCAAAGGAAAGGACAAAGGGAAATCCAACAGCAGCAACTACAAGGGCAAAGGCAAGTCACAGCAGAGCGGCAAAGGGTATGCAACTTCAACCGCCAAAGGTGGAGGAAAGAATCAGTCAAAGAATGCTGATGCAAACCGTTGCAACTACTGCGGTGGCCATGGACATTGGAAGCGCGATTGTCGGAAGTTTCAAGCTGACAAAGCTTCTGGTCAGGTTCGACAAGTGGAGAATGAGGATTCAACACAGAGGGCAGCATCGAGCCCCAGCAATCATTCGACTGCTCAGCACTCAGCAAGTGCGACATCATACCGGTCTGGCGGGAATGTGAATCGAGTAGCTTTCAATGAGAGCTCAGTGGTCATTGAAGATTTGACAGAGTTTTCTCAGCCTGCAGCTCACAGCTCCATTCGTGTGATTTAGCTTGCATGTTCTCAACAGTTTGACATGTCTTGCACTGATCAGGATGATTCATGGACTTGTGCTCCAGGTTGCAACATCGATTTACCTGTCAGGAACCACGTGCGTATGATGTCAGCAGCAGGTGAACTCAGCTCAGAGATCATTCTTGACTCCGGTGCTGACACAAGTGCCTTACCACTTTCATATGGTGATGTTGGTGAATCTTGCAATGATGTTGGACTTCAAGATTACATTGATGCACACAGTGGCAAGCTTGACATTCGTGACGCACGTCTTGCAACTGTTGACTTAGGGAATGGTGTCATCCTGCGTGAGAGGTTCATCATCGCCAACATTAGCAGCCCACTTCTTGCTATGGGACACATCGTCCGTGCTGGTTGGGAGCTTCATCATTTGAGTGATGGTATTTACCTTGTGAAGAATGACAAAAGCATCAATGTCAACTTTCGCCGAAACTCTTTGTGCGTACAAGGCTGCATCAGAATGGTTTCTCAGGATGATTGTTTCAGCCCTAAGGCATCTGACACAACTCCAGGTGAGATCAGGGCAATTCACTTGGAACCTGTGCTTAGGCGACTTTTGCCAGGCTGGAACAGGATCAACCCACAGCTTTTTGTGCTGAGAACTCGAAGGCCTAACTTTGTTGACACAACAGTTTGTCCATCAACAGAAATGATGTGGTTGCGTACAACTTTGGTTTTTCGTGATGGTCGTGGCTGGGAATTGCTCGAATTTTCTGAACCTGTCAGTGAGCTGGAGGAACTTGAAGGTGCCATTTACGACCCAGAGTCAGTTTTGGAGGTCATGACATTGGCACACGCCCACTGCGTTCCTTCAGAAGATCTTGGTTTTCGCTTGATTGAAGGTGATCAGAGACCAATTTTTGATGATGACATTCCTGCGGATGAGATGCAGGATGGAGAGGATCAACCTCAACCTGTGCATGAGGCCCCTGCAGACACTGAGGAGGCCGAGCCTTTGGATGAAGACCCCTTCGAGGAGGACTCTTCAGTTGCAGTTGAAGGTGTTGTCTACACCCCAGATTCCAGTTTGCGTGCGTTGAGAGCTGGTTGCACTGCACTTGGTCTGTCAAAAAGGGGTTCCAAGAAAGAATGTTTCAAGCGCATGGTTGAGCACATGAGAACTCAGAGCCTGATCACTTCACAGAGCGTCGAGGCCAAACTGAAACAAGGTTCAGAGAGACATGCAATCCCACAGCGTAAACCGAAAGAACCAAGTGAGCAAGTCAAAGATGTTCATGCTTTGACACATGAGCCATATGAGGAATGGTGTAGTCTTTGCGTCACCAACAGGGCCAGACAGGACCCACATCGACGTCAAACTCATGAAGGTGTTGGCCATTGCGTTGTGAGCTTTGATTTCGGGTACTGCAGTCGTATGAAGGGAGAAGAAGATAAACTGACTGTACTGGTGATACATGACAGAGATACCAACATGTGTGCAGCACTGCCCACACAACAGAAGGGCGGTCGCAGTTTCCAATACTTAGTCACAGAAATGAGCAGGTTCATCGTTCAAACAGGTCACACAGAGCTCAGCCTGAAGTGTGACTGTGAGCCAAGCACCACTTCCCTTGCAGAAGCAGTTCGAAAAGCTTGCGCTGGCCTGAGAATTGTGGTTCACTTGGAACCCACACCAACAGGTGACCACCAGGCAAATGGCGCAGCAGAGGCCATGGTGCATGTTTTGCACACAAAGGCTAACTTGCTTGTTCAACAGATTGAGGAAGCCACAGGATGCACCAAACCAGTTTTCGGTTGTCTTCACCCAGTCTATGCTTGGGCAGTTGTGCACAGCAGTTGGTTGCACAATCACTTTGTTGTGAACAAGGAGACAACTGGATATGAGCGATCAACAGGTCGTCTTTACTCAGGCAAACTCGCTCTTTTTGGAGAAACGGTGCTGGGTTACCTCAAAACTGCCTTGAAAGGACTTCCAAAATGGTCCAAGGGAGTTTGGCTTACAAAAACCATGATGAATGACTGCCATGTGATTGGTACTGCAACAGGAATCTTTGTCACGAGAAGTATCAGGCGACTTCCTACTTCTTTTCAGCTGGAACAACTTGGTGATTTGACAGCCTGCCCATGGGAGTACGGATATGCAAATCTTGGTCATCGTCTTGTTTACTCAAAGAGGGTATCACAACCCTTTGGTGTCGCAATTGGAGCCAATTTGCAGCTTGGTGACAAGGAAGCTTTAGCTGTCAGAGACTATGCTCGTGCACATCCATATGAGGATGCAGACCCTAAAGCGATCTCAGCCGAGGCGGGGATTCAAGGTTCAAATGAAGCTGGACAAGCAGAGGTTTCAACATCAACCCCTGCGAGTGGAGAGCTTGGAAATGGTGGCCCATCATCGAGTGCAAGGCCAGATTCAGGAATGCCACAAGCTGAAGGTTCGTTTAGTGGATCTTCGAAGCATGCAATTGAACATGATGATGTTGGCGCCGAGGCCAAACGTTTGCATTTCTCTGGACATGGTGACAGCTTGCCTCATGGTGATGTAGTGCCACAGACACCTGTCTAAGTAGCTGGTGATATACTTGATGATACTCCGGTTGAAAACATGATGAGCCCAGCAAAAGCCAGCAAGCATGAGAGCGGTGCTGGTGTCAATCTTCTGGGTGCCATTCGCAACATTGAGCACCTAGACATCGAGCCTGATGTTCCTCTTCATTCCGATGATGTGGATGCTTTGATTCAGCATGAATTGAACTTGGATGAGGATCCGTATGAGGTTGAGATCGACATGAATGCTTGTCTCAAGGAGCTTAGCTTTCCATACACTCCACATGAGCCAGAATTGTCACAAGAGGATCTTCAGAAGCTTGATGCAATTGCAGACCAAGTCGAGGTTCAACGGTTGGTTGGACTTGAAGTCCTGAAAGAGGACAACTTGCCAGCAGACTGCAAGACCCTGAGCACGAGGTTCGTCAGAACTTGGAGAGAGAAGAAGAATGACTCAGGTGAGGCAATTTGGCTTCGCCGCAGTCGGCTGGTGGCACGGGAATATACTTGGCTGCAACCAGACAGGGAATCACTCTTTTCCCCTGCAACTTCAAGCTTGGCAAGCAGAATCCTACCAATTTGCTTTTTGGCCATGAGAGAACACCAGGATTGCATTATGGCATCAATAGACGTCAAGGACGCCTTTCTCACAGTGAAACAAGAGGTGGACACTCGAGTGACATGCACAGATGCCAATGGAAACTCCGTGCAATACAGCTTAGGCCGTGTTTTGCCTGGGCAGAGAGACGGAAGTTTACTCTGGTACAGAGACCTTGCGAAGTTTGTCAAGGAGTGCACGCTTGAGATGACAGAACTGGATGCCCACCCAAGCATCTTGAGAAGCAAGACTGGCAACTGCTTCTTGATGGTCCATGTTGATGACCTTCTCATCGTCGGCAGCCGAGACGCCGTGGTGAAGCAGCTTGTGCCTTCACTGCAATCGAAATATGCAATCTCCATTGAACTCATGTCAAGGCCTGGAGACGAGGTCACTTTTCTCAAGCGCACCCATGAACTGCTTGAAGATGGCAGGATGGTGATTCGAGTGCATCACAAGCACCTCGATCAGCTGTGCAAGCTTTTGTGTCTCTCAAAGAGACTTCAGAGCAAGAAGACCCCAGGTCACAGCGAGATGGAGATCCCGGACAAAACCCAAGAACTTGGATCTCATGATGCTTCAGTGTACCGCACTTGCGTGGGGATTCTTCTTTACTTGTCAGCTGACCTGCCGCAATGCCAGTATGTGATTCGATATCTATCCACTTTCTCTTCGAAGCCAACTGAGAAATCCCTGATGGTGTTGAAACACCTGGTTGGCTACATGGCAGCACACTCCGAGCAGTGTATGTCTTTGAAATGGAAAGGTTTGCATGCTGGTGTTTTCAAGCAGTACGAGAACGAGGAGCCGATGGTGGAAATTTTCAGCGATGCTGACTGGGCAGCTGACAGGGAGACAAGACGCTCTGTCTCAGGAGCTGCAATTTATGTTGGTGGATGTCTCGCCTATTCAAGCTCCAGGACACAGAAAATCGTGTCACTTTCGAGCGCAGAGTCAGAAACATATGCAGCTGCTTCAGCCACCATGGATGCGATCTTGATCACAACCATCTTTTCATGGCTTCTCCAATGTCACTTCATGATGTGTTTGTATCTGGATTCATCAGCGGCGAGAGGTGTTCTTTCTCGCAAAGGTGTAGGTCGTTTGAGGCATTTGTCATGCAGGATCTTGTGGATGCAGGACTTAGTCATGGAAAAGCGTTTACTGGTGAGAGCAGTGATGGGAGCACTCAACCCTGCAGACATTGCCACCAAGAGACTCAGCGCAGCAAGGCTCGAATCTTTATGTTATTTTTTGGGTATTTGGAGAGGAAACAATCTCGAAGGATCACATGACCCAGGAAACATTTTCAGACATCTCACAAATCAACGACAACAGGGCCACAGCCAGGCACAGATCAACCTTTTGATTAGCGCCTTGAGCGTGCTTACTCAGCTTCAAGGGTGTTCTGACGCCATGGATTCTTTGGCAACTGGAGGATGTTTCTTCAATGCCGTGTTTTTGTTCACATGGCTGCTAGGTTTGATTGGCTACATTTACCTGGCCATCCGCCCTGGTGAACTCTTGAAGAATTTTGATTTTGTGAGCGACGCTGAGACTTCGAGCACTGGTGCCACAGAGGATCCAATGGACAACAGCTCAAGCAGCGATGCCTCTGACCATCCAGCTTGGTCCGAAGAAGGCATGGTTCACTGGCTTTATGAGCGACGTGAGAGGAGGCTGCAAAAGGCTGTTACAAAACAGGATCCCACAAAGACAAATCAGTATTTGGCCCGACAGGGTATTCTGAGTGACATGTTGGCTGCTTTGGAGGTGGCCACAGCAGAAACCAGGGGCCACATCAAACAGGTCCTTGAGGACATCACGGATTTGTCAAGTGATGAGGACTCACCCACTATGAACACTGGTGGCCATGACATAGCTCTGAATTCTGGAGTTCCGACAGGTATTGCCACAGCTTTTGTGCATGGAGTAGCTAGCTGGTATGACCCTTTGTGGATGCGACTTCGGCGACATCGAGATCCCCAACAACAGCAGTGTGATCCCTTTCACAACTATGGTCTTGACTGCATGGTCCTTGGCACTTGGTGGTTACACATGGTACTGGTTGAGACAGCCTGTGAGGCCAGTGTACTTCCCACCAACAACTTTGGCGGCACATGCAGCGGAAGCTGAGCCTCAGGTCAATGAGGACTTGCAACTTGAAGGGAGCCTGCTGGTAGCCCTGCGGAGGATCAATGGTCGACTGGAAAGGGCACAGCGGAGAGGCAACATTGGGCAAGGCATGAAGTACATGCAAAGCCGAACATGGTTGCTGAGCTGTGTGGCTCACTATGCCAACTGCAGTCCCCAGGAGAGACTGCGCATGGCAGAGGTGATCAAGGACACCGGGAACCTCAGTGAGGACGACGAGTCCCCGCAGCATGGCATGGGGAACGACGAAAGACATCTCCAATTGGCCGAGGCAGACAAAGCCTTCCGTGCCATCATGGCCCTCCTTGAGTATGACAGGTTCGAGGAGGTGACAAAGCTGGTCGGACAGCTTGGAGGAGCACTCCGTGAGGTGGTGCCAGAGAGTTCCAAGTCCGATGAGGAGATGGCCGAGGAGACGCCAGCGGAAAAAGCACAAAGGTATATGAACTGTGGACAGTCTGAGGCATCAGACCCTGACCTCTGGGCGGACATACACTACGGCCCGAGAAACCGCCGAGATGTGACACAGCCCGAGGATGAGACGGAACTGCAAGAGTTCTGAGGGATAGCAAAGCAAGAGGCACCACAGAAGAGTGTCAGGTGGTGGAGATGAGATCCATCATTTGGCTCCAGTGACGGTAGTTTGAAGCAAAAGGACTTCACCCTTCACAAAGCCTCCAAAAATGGAAACTAGGAGGCCACACAACTGGCCTGAGGGGACTTAGCTTTAGTGGAACTCTAAAAGATTTAGGTTCCAAGGCGGGGTGAAAGTCACTTCCGCATTTGGATTCATGTACATGTTCACATCAGTTGTGTAGCTGTGCAGATGACATTGCACAAATCGAGTAGTGCATTTCAGGTATGTACTCTGAGGCGCTTTCGGTTCCAGAAAAGTTCGCATCTTGACCTTTTTGCACCTGGAAAAAAAATAAACAGTGCCATGAACAAACCCATGCTGACAGCAGTTGTGAAGTCCACAGGAGGTGGAACGTCGGTGGGCCTGTTGTCTTGACCAATCAGAAGCACTATAATTTTCGAGAATCCAATACCTTTCACTGGCTTGCAGTTTTCCCTGTCCTGCCACCGGCATTTCAAGCATCATGCAAAACCTTCCAGTAGGACACAGGGAGTATTTAGCCTTAGCGCATGTGAAGCTGAACTGCGCTCCATGACGTCATGTTTGTGTGACGGCACCTACATCCGCAGATGCATTCAGTTTGTCACGAATGTTCAGATCGAACACCCTTTGCTGGTAGAATATTCGTTTGCGCGACAGATAGCTATGAGATTAGGTCTTGGAAAACTGAAATGAAACACGTAGCTGGACAGAGCCACACCACGAGGCCATGCGGCCCGACGGCAAAGACCCTTTGCAGGCAAAAAGGTGCGCGCCAAAAAAACAAATGAACGGAAAAATAATTGGGGATGTTTTTCATGTAGTTCTGTCGCTACCGAAGGAACTCGACCATTCCGCACAGCGAAACTTTTATGGAAAAACAAGCGCATGAAGCAAACAAAGCCAGTGGCGATTTGGTTTTGAATGCATTGAGTTTGCGCGTGTTCTTTTGAATTGTTCTTTTTGTTTTTGAATGCAAGCAACATGTCCCGAACTTAGTAAGTCCGTCCCTGTTACATAGGTCCAAGCCTGCACGAACTCTTGTTTGCATGCTTACCCAGTGACTTGGCATTTCGAGCCTAAACCGGGTTGGTGAGCGCAGAGCTTCCCGGATTATATAAGCCGGACGGTGGCTCGATCGAACCGTGCATATTTCGTCCCGCAAAGGTTTAATAGAACATATTCGGCGAGTCTTACCTGGTAGAAGATACGCGGCAGTTCTTCCAAGACAGAGCCGAGGTCGAGGTTTCATAAGAAATTCCACGGACATGATACAGACAGACAGACAGATAGACAGACAGACAGACAGACAGACAGACAGAGAGAGAGAGAGAGAGATATATATGGATGGATGCATGGATGGATGGATGGATAGATAGATAGAGACAGATAGATAGATAAATAGATTGATAACTTTGATAACTGATAAAAAACAATTTTCTGTGTTGTGTAAAAGGCCAATGATATAGTTTCGGCCGTGGTGAGGCGCAATGATTTGGCGTGTCGGTCGAGTGTGAGAAGTGTAGTGGAGCTGGGATTATAACAATGTGAACTGTAGGCCTTGGTTTCCGGCCGACATCGGGCCCCAGCATGCGACATTACGCAACTCAGAACAATTGTCACAGACATATGAAAAAACAAAACCGAGAGAGGGAAAAAAAAAACAATCAAATTCTTTTTGTTGAGTAGACATTCGTTAAAGGAAACTAAATTATGTGTCGCCATGAAAAACGACTTCCAGCAGTTCCCTTTTTGGTTGATTAGAAACAATCGGCAAAGCCGGGTATGCATGAATGATGCGATAGCTGGGATCGGTGAAACATTTTGGCAGTATCTCAGTCAAAACCACAAACTTGCAAAACAAACGTGCTATTGCACTAGCCAATTTTAGTTTCCTGCCCATGGATTCCTGGCTGCTTCGTGGCGACAACGGAGTCGGAAAACGACCGGTTGCTAGATCCAAACGTGTGTGTTGACCACAATGGGTGTTTTTTTTGCCGAAGGTTGTGTCACATGTTTTTGGTAGGAAATCCCTTGACGCAGGGCAGCAGACATTTTTTTCTGGGCAGGGTTTTGAAAAGCATCACATTTTATCCTTGGACACGTTTTCTTTTGGTTTGCTTGATTATTTCCGTTCGTTCCAGTGTTGCAAGTTTTGTTTCAGTCCTTGATGTGGTATGCGGCAACAATGGGTTGGTTCGATATGTGTATTTGTTTATTAGGCAGCTGCGGTGTTTTAATTCAGTTTGCCCAGGATGCTTGAGGACACATCGTTTTTAAACATGAATTGGTCCTTCCTTGTGGTTGTGCCACACCGCTTCTATTCGGTTGGGTGCCTTGACATTCCCCAGACGTCCCATGCTCGAGTTTTGGTATTTCATATTCGTATGATCTTCGTTCCATGCAGTTTTGAACTGCATGTGGTTATTTGGAAATGATTTGATTTGGTTTTTGGTATTAATTTGTTACTTACAAATTTCTTTCTTCCAAGGTTTTGGGGTTGGATGTCTTGAAATCAGTGCCGGTCATATTTTTCTTTGCTCTGGGCGATCATTGGTTCCTTGCAAGGCACTTTCGCCGTGGTCCTTTGCAAGGAACTGCTAGCCAAATTGCCAGCTGCGTTCGGTGTGCTAGATGGCAGGAGGCTGACAACCATCAGGGAACAAGTCTGGGCGTAACTTGAAAGCGACATTTTTCCCCAAACAGTGTACTGTTAGGGGTTCTTAATGCTTTCTTAAGGTGTCCGCCTTGGTGTTGGATGGTGTGACCGCCTTCCCGAGGGTCTTGTCTCCCCTTGTCTCCCCTTGTCTCCCCTTGTCTCCCCTTGTCTCTCCTTGTCTCCCCTTGTCTCCCCTTGTCTCCCCCTTGTCTCCCCTTGTCTCCTCTTGTGCCCTTGTCTCCTGCCGCTGCCTTACCAGGTCGAAATAGTGCATTTATAGAGGGTTTCAAAACCTGCGCGAAGCACGTTCCACCGCCCTCCGTGCAGCTTTAGCCCCTTGCCAGCGCTTTGCCAGGTCGAATATTGCGTTCAGAGGGTTTCCACCTTTGCGCAAGACCAGGGCCCCAAACCCTTCCGTGCAGCTTTACCCCCTTGCCAGCGCTTTGTCAGGTTCCTCTGCCTTACCAGGTCGAAATACTGCATTTAGAGGGTTTCAAAACCTGCGCGAAGCACGTTCCACCAGGGCCCCAAACCCTTCCGTGCAGCTTTAGCTCCTTGCCAGCGCTTTGCCAGGTCGAATATTGCATTTAGAGGGTTTCCACATTTGCACAAAGCCTTTCACTAGGACACGAAACCCTCCTTTCACTAGGACACGAAACCCTCCTGTGCACCTTTCCTGTATGGTATGTATGGTCACTATGATGTGTATGGAATGTTTGCCATGTAAGGTAGGTATATGGTATGTATGGTATGTATGGCATGTATGTTTGGCATTGTAAGTATATAGGTCGTCTAAAAGGTAGCATGCACCTAGTAAAGGCGAGGCTGGTAGTCAGACATGGTGCAAAGACCTAGCAAATACGAGGCTGGACCTCAGAAATGCTGCCAGTAGCTTGCAAATAGAAGGGAAGGGGGTGCTACCTGGTGACCCATGGGGTAGGAACATGGAACACGGTATATATTTATATATATATATAAATATGGAGGTTGTTGGTGCTATGCAACACCTCTTTGAGAATCAAAGATGAATGCCTTATTTTCACGACAACAAAAATTTGTCCCAGTGGGACAAATTAACAAGACCCAAAAAAAAAAATCTCTGAAACCACCAAACAACAAACAAACACAAACAGTAAACAGTTTGTTGGTTGTCTCCCTGTTTAACTGGAAACATCGATGATCTTCATGTTCACATGTGTGATTTTTCATTCGTTTGATGTTTTCCGTTTCAAGGGAGGGTGGGTGGGAATTCCACCCTTTTTAAGAGGGCAGCGTTGGCAATGGGCAAAGCAGTGGCGCGTGGCCAAGCGTTGCTTCGGTCTCCTGTGGTTTTTCAACCAGTGGTACCTGTTCCATTTCCGTATCGGCTGTGCATTTTGTCAGTGATTTCAGGTTTTGGCACTGCATTTGTGATTTTCTTCGCCTGGATTTGGACTCTTTAGGAGATCGTCTTTTATGCAACACAGGTCACAACCTCGGCTTCCTGTGTTTAGGCCGCTGGTGCCACATCGACCATTGCAATCTGATTCTACATCTTGCAGTTACATTCTTGCAGGTGGTGGTTCTGCAGTTTTGTTGCGACACAGCATCCTGTCGTATTTGTACACGCCTGGTGCTAGGAATCCAGATATTTTTCATTTGGGTAACACTGCGCCTGCCATTCGTATCATTACAGGTTCCTGGACACAGGTGGACACTCCCAGCGTGTCTTCTCAACGGGCAGAAAATGACTGAGGCCACAGATACGAATCCTGACCTTTTTCCTATGGGAGATTTTGCGGGGTCAGGTTTTGATGTTGGATACCCATATGGTGGTGAACAGTCTGAACCCTTTTTTGATGACGCCAGGGTTGATCCATCTGAAACAGTGGGGGACCAATTGGACGACTGGGATGTTACGGCAGTAAACTTTGCTGGTTCAGTGTTGGACGGTTTGCATGTTTTCACTTCCGGTGATTTTCAAAATGCATTGGACAGAGCATGGCAATCTTTGGAGCCGGCGCCACAGTGGACGATGCCTTGGGAAACGGGCGTGTGGAAACATATTTTTGATGTGTCAGAGCGTTCAAGTAGCTTGACAATGCCTGTTTTGAGTAGACCTGCAGTGGCTCCTCTGCCAGATGTCTTGCCAGTGCAACACCCGGCTTTGAAAAGCAGGCGCATTGCAGCTGAACCTCAGGCCTGGCAACAAGTGGTCATGGCCTCGGATGTGGCGTCATGGCAGGAGCTTCATGAAGCCAAGCTGGACGTGGCTTTGAAACGCTGGTATGACGTGGTGATCATGTTTCCAACGTCATTTATCTTGGTGGCTCAACTGGCTGAATTACCCACCTTGGGTGAGCAAATGTCCATGATGAGAGATGTTTTGAGTGGCAGATCACCTTTGACCTTGTTGAAACGAGTGAACTCCATTACACGGTACATGACATTTCTGCGCAATCACGGGATGACAGCGCCTGGGGTTGAGTCAGACTTGTATGCTTTTCTCAAGGAGCAAAGGTCTGAAGGCGCACCTCAGTCGAGACTTGCAGCTGTGATTGAGTCCATCAGGTTCATGGAGCATGTGTTAGGCCTCAATGGTTTGACAGACCTGCTGTCCAAGCGCTGCTTAGGTGCGGCAAAGCAGACAACAGCTGGGCCAAACCGTCAGGCAGCACCGCTGACAGTTGCAGAGCTGCGGGTACTTCATGACATCCTTGCTTCACCTGATGCAGATGTTTGGGATCGTAACATGGCTGGCGCTTTCCTGGGATGTGTTTATACAAGGTCGAGGTGGTCAGATTTTCAGCACTCGAATGAAATGACAGCAGATCCACACCCTCATTGTCCTGAGTTTGTGGAGTTATCCATTTCAGAGTACAAGACAAAGTATGCAAATGCTTGGAGGGGTGGTTTGCTTACAGCAGTGGCCCCAGCCATCGGTGTGTCGGCAGAGAACTGGGCGCAGAACTGGCTGGTAGTTAGAAACATGTTGCAGGCACCTTTGCATGAGGATTTTCCCATCATGCCAGCACCGAACGCTGCAGGGGAGGCCACCAAAAGGCCCCTTACCACTAAGGAAGTTGCGGAGTGGATCCGTTTGCTTTTGAGGAGAGGTGGCATAGCAATGGGTGAACGCAGAATTTCATCCCATAGTGCCAAAGCCACCATCCTTTCATACTTAGCGAAGTATGGAGCAGAGATATCAGTGCGTGAGATTTTGGGGGCCCATGTTTCCCACTTGCAGTCGGTCATCAGATATTCAAGAGACGCCCTGGCTGAGCCCTTGCGGGTTATGGCACGCATGCTGGCTGACATACGCAGTGGCATTTTTATGCCGGACACCACAAGGTCTGGATACTTTTCAATGAACTTGGACCCAGCCACAGAGGAGATTGACAGTACAGTTATTCTGGTCAGTGATGATGAGGACGTTAAGCATGAGATGGCACAGGTGGAACAAATTGCTGAGTCTGACAGTGAGGACGAAGCTGACACCTGTTCAAGCTCAGATGAAAGTGCAGTGGCATCTGCAAGGTGCAGTCGACCCGTAACCGTGCCAAAGGCGCCGGTGGGCTTCAAGATGTACCAGCACACCAAGAGCCGCATGCTTCACCTCATGGAGTTGGAGCACCATAGGGTGTTCCAGTGTGGAAGGATGGCTGGGGAAAAGCATGAGATTTCCCAGGCCAGCAAACTCCGTTGGGACACCCCTTGCTGTGGCCGATGTTGGCGCACAGCTGGGCACCCGCTCGTGTCTAGGGTCGGATGAATGAGCCAGACAACATGAGCGCTGGACCTTTGCAGCCAAACACTTGGCAACGCAGAGCTATGAGCCTTCTTGTGGAAAAAATTTGACAGGCAGCATCTCCTTGTGCAAATCATTCACCAGTTAGTGTCAACATGAGACACGGTGAGAACGCACACATTGAAAACCACCTGTCAAACATTTCATTCCACTTGTCATACATGTCGGCTCCAGGTGTGCAACATGAAGTGCATGATACGTTTGTTTGGCTCATTTCATCATGCATGTCAGGAACGTCCAGACCTTAACCCAGGCACTCTCAACTTGTTGCAAATTGCATAAGTGAGCATGTCATATAGATACAGAAGTTGATAAACCACACTCCATTCTAAATACACCCTCTTTTGGATCTGACCCAGTTTTTCTTTCACTTTGACAGCTGGTTCATTGTTTCTTTTGTTGTAGGGACCTCAAACGCTACCCGTTGCTGAAACATGGCACTGGTGGAATCAGAGGCCGCTTTTCAAAAGCGTTGTGATGAACTGGAGGACCAGCTCTACACGAAGTGTAAGGCCCAGGACATCACGTCTTTTTCAACTCTGGCATTTTCGTTGGGGTCACCTCAGAACCAAGTCAGTGAAACAGAGCTGTCAGATTTGGCGGGAAAAATTCATGGAGGAGTGGCCACAGTGGGGAACACAGCCAACATAAGGAGACTCCATTTTGAGGCTTGTACATTTCTTATGGCAGATATGAAGTCGCAGGTAACAGCAACTGACCCGTCAGAGCCTGTGCGTAAACTTCCATTTGTTGAAAAGCAGAATCGCCTTGAAATGCAGAAGCGCCGAATCAGTGGGTTGTCGCACCGACCTGAGCAGCAGCCAGCCCACCAGTTGATTGACCAGGTGTACAACTTGATAGAGTCAGGTGCCATCATTTACATTCATCCCTCAAAGTGCCATTCAAGGGAACACGAGATTCAGAATGAGGCAAAACAGAAGACCAAGCAAATCGTTACCCTTGAACAGGGGGCCTTGAAAACAACCACAGCCAATGCCATGACAGACATTGACACTTCCACTGAGTTGAAGGTTTACTTTGCTTTGATGCGACGGCACTTGGCTTTCGAGATGCTTCATTTGCTTTCCTGGGAGTTGTGTCAACTTTGGTTGGACAAGCTCATGACCGTGCTGATCTCAGATGCTCCAGCAAATTTTTCAGCAGTTGGAGTGAGTCAGATTCTCAAAGCTGATCGGGA